AGTAAGAAAATTTTACTTGTTAAGATTCTTAAAATACTTAATTTGACTCAGTTTTTTCTTATTTCAATTATGCCTTTTCAAAGCTTACTAAAATAATAAATTCTTCTATTTTTTATTCTAAATCACACAAATTATTTCAGTAAGACCAAAACAATGATCAGTTAACCAGATTGTATTTAAATTACATAAAATAATATTGATAAATTCTTTTACTAGACATTTTTTTGTGAAAATATGGGTTACTACCACTATAGATATACAAATCTATAGAATTGGGTAAATTACTCATACATACATACTACATTAACACATTCTGGACATGCATATATACACTGTATACATACACATACATATCTCCATATATAGAAAAAACTCAGCATACTTATAACTTTCAAAGCTCCATAAAAACTTAAACTTAAAAACTTAACCCAGCATCCTGGGTTAAAGTGTTACCTAAACTCTGCTGAGTTAAAACCACCCAGGACCAACGACTGTCCAAGTTTGACCCAGTATTGGGTTACAAATTGACTAGTTTCTAACACAGCAGTATGTTGGACATGTACTTATGCCCACCTGAGATTTGACTTGGCTGACTGGCTTCCATTCTTCTCCAACGAGCTGAAGAGGCACTATTGTCTCGTAATGTTCCTGCTTTGCTGGGGCTCCATGCTGAACAGCTKCCCTCAGAGGACTCCCTGTAAAAAAAGAGAACATGAAAAACCACATGAGGATGCAAAGAAAATTTCTGTGCCAAATCTTCCTTGGCATTTGCAAACAAAAGTCCACAAATGGGGCTATGTTGTAAACAACACTGATAAATAATTCCTCCTCGCCGTCAATCCCACGCGCTGCGTTAATTAATAACATCAGAACCCAACCTGACAGTCAGGATGCCTTATGTGTCACTTTTATACAATTACAGTGTTTTTATGTGTCATGCCTTTAATATCTCACAGCCCCACAAATAATGTTTTCTGAACGGATTTGTTTTGTCTTGCCTAACAATTATCCACACTGACACGCTGGGCAAACGTCCACCTCCTTTTAAGAGGCCATCAGTATAATGGTGCCTCTCTTCTGAGCCACAAAGACATGAGAACAACACCACTAAATAGTACTCTGAAACATCAGGCAACAGAAACTGTTGTGTCACACGAGGAGGATGGCCAGATCAGTTTTTGGATGTCTTTCTCAGCCACAACCTCAGAATCTCTTAGAAGCCATTTATGTCTTTTAAAAGTTACTCATTGCATAGTATGAAAATAAACAAAAAAGTTTCTGAATTATGCCAAATGGTGGATTCAGCAATCAAACACAGCTGTTAAATCTGAAATGTTAACATTTCAACATTAATTGTCAAACTTTCCGTTCCCATATAGCTCTTCCAAGGACATCGCCATTCTTTACTGTAATGGAACTAATACTTTTATATTTAAGCAAGTAATTCATGACATCCTTTAATGACCTAGGTTTTCATGACATGTTGTTCATCTGCAGATAGAATGATTAAAGTCAGAATAAGATTTGCTAACAACAGTCATTCTTAGATACCACTTGTGTTTATCTTTGTGTTTTCCMTTGACCTTGTATCAAATCTTGCTAAGATGACATAATGGTGTTTGTTAATATATATATGAGGCCTCTCGAGTGAGTGAGACAGTGTTCAACAGTGGACACAGTAGTGTGGAGAGACAGTGACAGAGAGAAGCAGAGGCACAGAGACAGGCCAGGTTATTCTCTGTGTTTCCTGTTTCCTGCTGACAACGCCAAAAAACTGTATTGGCAAGATTTACCAAGAATGCAGAAACACGTTGGAATAAATGCACAGAAAGTCTGCGTGTATGGTCRTCAAATGATTTAATCTGAGCAACAACATTTACCTATGTTCAACCTCTTCGGCTCTTTTTGTAGATAAACACATTCAAAAGTGTCCCAAATTTACTGGAATTTTTTTAATTTAAGGAAACATTAACCATCAAAATGAGTAAAATTTTGTTTAGATTTTGTTTATTGTTTTATGAAACTCTTTTAACCGGTCTTTATGACTTTGTAATGAGTACCTTTAAAGGAAGGCCTTCCTATATGACAGTTTAGTCTTATTAGGAGATTATTCAGACAAAAGATTCAAAAACAGACGGTATATTCAATGTTGCATAAAAACAAGTCAGAGGCTACGTTTATACTGCAGATCTTAATAATCAGTTCAGGTTTTTTTTTTGCCAAAATCCTACTTTTTTGCGTGGATGTTCACGTTATATTTTAAATGCAACCCCCATCAGACTTCAGTGTGTGAACTGTCCACAGCACTGATGTGACCTGCATGTGCAGACAATGACGGGACGTCACATTTACAGAAGTGAGCTAAATGTGGATGCTAAATGTTAACATGTAGATTCTGAAGTTGTTGTGCAATCAGTGCAGATTAAATAGATATATGACATGCATTTTTAGTTCAGTGTTTACATTCGAACCTGCCTCTCACCATGCTTTGGTGCAGCAATTTATTTTTGGAACATACGTGACACGAGTAAAATATTGATCCAGTAACTGTAGTATCAATACGATCTGAAACAGACGTTACTATCATGTGTTTCTTTATATTCTTAGTGATCCAGGACATGGAAAATTTAAAGAAAAAAGTCTAATCTGAACTTCTATTCTGTAGCTAAAGACGTATGGAGCTACAGGATTTAAGCTGGACAATGTCGATATCTGTATTCCAAATACTTGGATCAATCTGCTGAACCTCACCTTGCTGCAGTAAAAGTTGCATGAAATGCGACGTGAGCGTTCAGACTGAGGTCACTTTGAAAAACATCAGATATGTATACGATTTAGTACAGCACAGGCTTGGGTCAAATTAGAAACAAATTGGATTTGTCACGTTCAAAATGTCAGGAAAAAAATTTGGCTTTTTTTAATCACTTCAGTAGAAAAAAAGAACTTAATATTAGTTTCTTAATTTCTTCATCAATGATTTTTTGTTTGTTTGTTATATAAACAGGAAAGAAA